ATAAGCCGTCAGCTACCGTTCAGAGGTAATGTGAGGTCACGGAAGGCTTGGTTGTCGTTCTTGCCACAAAGCCCACTCTGCCAGATGCCCCCTGGGCTGTGAGCCCCTTGAGAGCTGGGAGCTCGCCGAGGGGACTCTCCTCGGCACCCTGGCGCACCCACACAGCTGCAGGGAGCCTAGCTCACGGCAGAGCTTCAGGCGTCTACTGTGCACGCATCCCCCCGATGGGAACTTGCTTTGACACTTTTCTTGGGGGCTTTCATCTTACAGCCGTCGAATTCCCGGCCTGCACACAGCTCTGCTGACTTGGACCCCTTTAAATTTCGCTGGTTGATCCCTATATCTGCACTTCAAGTCAGACTGGGAAACACAGCAGGTAATTACTCTGTGTGGTACAGTGCCGGAGAGAAATTTTGAGAGACTTATTTGAATTGTGTGCTGGAAAAGCAGGAAAGAACCTTGGGGATCATTTTTGATGTTTTATGGGCAAGGAAAATGAGGACAAAAGAGGTTGTTTTGATGTTTTCGTACAGGCTTTTGAAGAAAGTAAAAATGCCAGTGGATGGCTTTTCTTAGCCAAATACCTCTCGTCATCATTTCCTTATTTTCACTATAGTTTTTCAACATTTTTCTTTCTGCCTGATATCTTTGATGCCCTAAAATGTTAGAAACAAAGGCCCACCAATTTAAGTGTTCACAAATTTAGATTCATCAGAAAATTCCTTAAGATTAAGCAGTATCATAAATGATGTAAAAACAAGAAAACAGCCTTCGATGCTGTAAAACATCCGGTGATCCTTCCAGAATAACGTTCTGGTGACAGTGCCTCGGGTGATGGGAAGGACCGACAGGCTAAGGTGTGCAGTGACGTTGGTCTGTTTAATTTTTGTTGGACGTGCTTACACTTCCAAGAACGTGACTGAATTTGGAGCTCACCTCAAGTACCCGGGCATTTCCTATTGTTCCAAGGAATAGGGTTGAAAAACGGGACCCATTTACCTTCTTCCCCAGAGAGGTGGGATCCAGGGGTGGGGAGGAAACACTGAGATGGATGGGAAACTTCAGGAGATGTAAAAAGTAATTAAAAAGTACTTCGCTTTTTGTAACTGTTCATGAAAGTTATTCATAGAATGAGCCACAGAAGAAAATGAGAGGATTGAGAATATAAGACTTCTGCAGAAGTCACTAAATGACAACCGCAGCCTCTTTGACAAAGTTGTAGACTCTTGTTTCTTTTACACAGGGACAGAAAATAACTCCATATGGGAGCTGATCCATACGAAGTCAGAAATAGAAGGACGGCCAGAAACCATCTTTCAGTTGTGCTGCAGGTACCACTGACCTCCAAACGCTAGAGCCCACGGGAAGAAGACAGATGATGCGCTCTTGAAAACGGTTATGTTTTCGTGCCCTCCAGAACTCTGACTTCTGGCTCACGCCTCCCTCTCCCGAAGGGCAGCTGCGGCTCTAGGAGAACACACTGATTAAAAACAAACCCAAATCCCAGTGCCGAAGGAGCTTAGGTTCTCACTCCTTTTGTGAGACCAACCAAGGCACACACAGGCTGGGGACTTACTTACTGTCAGTCTGTTCTGAGAGCAGTCAGAGGCCACAGGGGACCAGGGGACGTGGATCCGAAGCACAATGACACTGGACACTAATGCGGTTTTTTCTCCCTGCCCCTCCAGTGACAGTGAAAGCAAAACCAACATCGTCAAGGTGATTCGATCTATTCTGAGGGAGAACTTCAGGCGCCACATAAAGTGTGAATTACCCCTGGAGAAAACGTGTAAGGATCGCCTGGTACCGCTGAAGAACCGGGTCCCCGTTTCAGCCAAATTAGGTGAGAGCTTTGCGGGCCTCGTGTTTATTCAGGAAAACGCTGGGCGCTTCTCTGAGACGGTGCACGCCCTGTAACACAGCAGGAAGTCAGCACCTTGGAAATCACCAGGGTAACTGCCAGCTCTAAACCAGACACCCAGATCCCCAAGGTGGTGTGAGAAGGTGGTGGCAACTTTATTTCCTTTTAAGAAACCTAAACATGCTTCCTGCTCCCCACTGCCTTTTATAAAATGTAACCACCCCAAACTCCAGATCTCCGTTTTACCTTCAGGTGACACTGTCTACGCTACCACCTGATCTGTTTCTTCCACTGAGATAAATGCAGGAGTCCAGGGACCTGGTTCTGCTTCCGGCAGTATTCCCAGGGCTCAGACAGTGCAAGGCAGCTAGAAAGTCAGTACTTAAAGAATTAAGATCAAGGCACCTAAATACTCAGTCTTACCCGATCAATAAGTCAGCAGGCAAACATTCCAAGTCCTGCTGTTCCTAAACTTTCTGCCTGTTTTTAAATTTTCAGCTTAAGTTTTTAGAATTTTCTTTCTGTATTAACTACTTTGTTGTTATCTTTGATCTTGTTTTTAGTTTTATAAAATGTAGCTTTTTGGGGGTCAGTTTGACCTCTTCGGATTTACTGTATATTTTCTATTTTTTCTCTATTACCAACATAAGCTATGGCCATCAAAAAAAAAAATTACTGTCTGCAGAAACAAGATAACCGAGAGTTCCCCCTTTCTCCTTCATCCCAAAAGAAAGGACCTAAACACACACAAATGATTAAATATTCATATTAAATCTCAGAAAGCCGGTTAGACATTCCAGCAGAGACAGTTCTCCTGAGAGATAAGGAGTATTTTTATCCTTTTAATTGAGTAGCAAGGGAAATGAAGAAGCTGAGAAGGTCGGCTCAGAAGTAGCGTGTAATCTTGATTATGTTGAAGAAAGAGATCCTAGATTTTATTAGTAACTAACTTTTCAATTTATCCATTGGCAGGATAAGAATCTTATCATAGTTTATAGCTTATTCCAGCTAAATAATTGAGCTCTGATAACTGGTCATCTATAAAGGCCAAATCCCCCAACTTCAAGTTCAGATAAAACTTAAGTAAAAAATTGCCATACTTGCAGTAGCTACATCTTTTTGTCCAAGTCCCAGGATAGTTGGTAACTGAAGTGAGATGATAAAATCTTTAAGTCACACAACTTTCGAAGCGAAAATCACGTTGTGGAATCTGTTTATCTCAAGGAGAAATATGCTTTCCTCCTTGCAGCTTCCTCCAGGTCCTTGAAGGTCCTCAAGAATTCCTCCAGCGGCGAGTGGCCCGGTGAGACGGGCAAGGGCAGCTCGCTGGACTCCGACGAGGGCAGCCTGAGCAGCGGCACCCAGAGCAGCGGCTGCCACACGGCCGGGGGCGGGCACGACCCCCTGAAGCACCCACACGCGGGCTCGACGGAGTTTTCAGACAGTCTCATCAAAGAGAGCGATATCCTGAGCGACGACGAGGACTATCATCAGACTCTGAAACAGCGCAGCCCCACCAAAGACATCGAGATTCAGTTCCAGAGACTGAGCATCTCCGAGGACCCGGACGCGCCCCCGGCCGGGCAGCAGGCGGGCACGGAGGGCCAGCCGGCGGCCGAGCAGCCCAAGCTGGTGCGGGGGCACTTCTGCGCCATTAAACGCAAAGCCAACAGCACCAGAAGGGACCGGGGGACGCTGCTGAAGGCGCAGACTCGTCACCAGTCCCTTGACAGTCAAGCTGAAAATGCCAACCTCGATCTCAGTGCCGTTCTAGAGCGAGAATTCAGCGTCCAGAGTCTAGCGTCGGTTGTCAACGAGGAGTGTTTTTACGAATCGGAGGCCCACGGGAAGTCGTAGTACAGTTTCAGCCCGCACGTGTGGATTCTACTGCTCTTTTCGTTTTCAGACTCGTGGTAAAGTGGAAATCGCAGAAAAACTATTCATTACTGGGTTTTGTGCAGTGTACATTTTCCCACAAAATAGCTGTAAAGATTTAAGTTATTTTAATTTATTGTAGATCAGAAAACTAGATGAAGCTGGTCAGAATCTGTAAATTACTTAGTTGCTATCCCTTTTGAGCAGGTATCAAAATGACTTTGAATCCTAAACTGCATTCTGATTATTTTAATTTATATGGAAAAGGTAGGGTGGGGAAGTTGGGATTCATCGCTTTGTAAAAAGGTCATTTTTTAAAAATCCTCTGGGCATTTTCTTTGAGCTGTTAGTTTCTGCTTTATTTAAAGCATATTTAAGTTATTTTAATGTGGGTTAGGGGCACAAAGTGCACATATTTCATTTTTGTAAGGTTGTAATAGATGCTGTTTATACTAAACATGTCATATCTATGCAGTATATATTAAAAGAAAACATACTGTAACTTGATTATATTTATTTTCTTTACCAAGCTGTACAGTAAACGGGAAATAAGTCACATCTGGTAATTGGTATGTTTATTGTCATTCTGTGGAAGTCAAGAGTCCACATATGAGAAGTTCAGCCTTGTGAAAACCAACGTTTGGTAAAGCCGCTGGCAGCTAGAGCCTGTACCTCTCCGTGTCATCCTTTTCCTGAAATTTGCTTTTATTTTTCTTGAGTTCTTCTCTGAAATTGTAAGCAAAGAGGTGAGGGTCCTCATCACACATTTTCCTGTACACATCACAGAGGTTCTTAAAATGCGAGACTGAGAGCTGCCTGGGTCGGAGAGTAGGGTCCACGTCTGCCAGCTCCAACAGCTTTCCAGTGCTTTCTAGGCGCTGGGTTTCAGGGAATAACATTCTGAGAGGAAAAAAAAAAAATCAAAATTTTTACTTTTGAAATTATGTAAATCATGATGCTTCCTTCTACCGTGGTTTGAAAATGACTTGATTCTGACAACTTGAGAAAGGGGAGGAGGGCTGCCTGCGGGGCTCTGAGCCTGCAAAGGGCTTAGCCACGCCCCGCTCTGGGAGCAGGGAGGACCACTGAACGCAGAGCTAGGCCGACATGCAGGGTGTGTCCATGCTGGAAAACATTTTTCAAAGCTAAATCAACACATCCATCTTTAAGGTCAGTTTAAAATTAACGTCTGCTCAGGTGCGTTCTTAGAGAAGTATATTTGATTGGCCCCATTTTTTAGTACAAAAGTTGTCTGTTGTGTTTTATCATCAGTTTTGATTCTCTAGAACTTGAATTTAGCTTTCGGAACTCATAAGCCCAAAGGAATGACCTTTCTTGGCAAAGTCAGAAAACATTTGATGTGAAAATGCAAACACGTATTTCTACTCTTTATGCTATCTTGAAGCAAATTTAAAATTGATTCGAAGTATATATTTTATATTTCATGTAACCAAATCGGATCATTGTTTTAAGATAAGGAGAGAAACTGACACTGAAATAGCATAGAGCTTCGCCTGTGTTTTATTTCTGCCTGTCGTCTGAGCGGCTCTACAGAGCTCATGTCAAAGGCTCGGAAGACGGCATGGCCAGTGCAGACTGGTTTCCTTAACAGCGCGGCATGCTCTCCGGGACGGCACATTCCCTCCACGCTCAGGGTGACCTGGCTGACATCTAGGGGTCTCTAGACTTCCAGGAAGTGAGAGGGGCTGGAGACTGAGCTCAGTTACTAATCAACTGTGCTTACGTAATGGAACTTCTATAAAAACAGCTAAATGATAGCATTCTGGGTTGGTGAGTGGACATGGAAGCTCTGAGTGCCCGATGTCCCCATACCGTGCCCTAGGCATCTCTCCCATTAGGCTCGTCCTCAGTTATATACTTTTTAATAAGCCGATAAAGGAAAATGTTTAAGTTCTGTGAGCCATTCTAGCAGATTACTGAATCTGAAAAGGGGGTCATGGGAATCCCCAACTAACAGACGTACGAGTGGCAACTTAGGACTTAAGTTGGCCTCTGAAGCAGGGACAGTCTTATTACACTGAGCCCTTAACCTGAGGGCTTTACCCTAACTCCAGGTACTTAGGATCAGACTTGGATTGTAGGACACCCAGTTCTAAAGCTCTGTGACAGGAACCTCAACAAAGATAAAAAATTGGTTGTGTTGGTATTGGTAAAATCACCACACATTTAGGGACTTCCTGCAAGATGGTGGCATAGGCAGAACCCAAAATCACCCACTCCCACAAACACACCAAATCTGCACATGCAGCAACTCCTCCAGAAAATCTGCGGGCTGACTGATTAGCTTCTGCATAAGAGACCACAGAGAGAAGTGGGGGAACCACGGGAACGCTCCAGGACTGGAGGTGCCAGTGAACGCCTCTCCACCTATGTGGCATGGGCAGGAGCCTGGTCTAAGTGCTATGACCAACCTGAGAGGCTACCACAGCACATCCCAGGCCTTTTCGCCCAAGCCAGACCTAGGATGCTGCCTCAGCCAGCACCCACTGTAGCCCAGGCCGGCTGGCCCCTCAGGATACTGCGGTCATCACCCGAGCCCACTCTATCTCCAGATGGCCTGCCAAAAGCACCTGGCACACACACAGGTCACCCCTACACAAGGCCACTTTTTTAAGAGTAGGGAAGAGAGCTCTTTTGTCTAAGAAAATCAAACAAAATAAGACAAAGTAACATGTTTCAAATGAAGAAACAAGAAAAAAACCCCAGGAAAAAAAAATTAAGGTAATTTACCTGATAAAGAATTCAAAGTAACTCATAAAGATGCCTACCAAACTTGAGCGCAGAACAGAGGAACTCAGTGAGAACTTCAAAAAAAAATACAAATGACTAATCAGAGCAGAAGAATACCATAACTGAAATGAAAAATACGTTAGAGAGGAACAGCAGATCAAATACAGAAGGCAGGATTAGTGACCTGGAATACAGAATGGGTGGAAATCACCCAATCAGAAGAGCAAAAATAAAAAAATGAGAATAGTTGAAGGGAACTCTGGGACAACATCAAACACATTAACATAATAGGCATCCCAGAAGAAAAAGCGAGGCAGAAAGCTGATTTGAAGAAATAGCCGAAAACTTTTCTAACCTGTGCAAAGTAACAAACATCCAGGTCCAGGAAGTACAGAGAGTTCCAAACAAGATGAACCCAGAGACCCACATCAAGACGTAGTAAAATGACAAAAGTTAAAGAGAGAATCCTGAAGACAGCAAGAAGAAAACTGGCCACACACAGCGGACACCCCATCAGACCATCAGCTGATTTCTCGGCAGAAGCTTTACAGGCCAGAAGGAAGTGGCAGGATAAAGAGCTGAAGGAAGGGAAATTGCAAACCAGAGTACTCTACCCAGCAAGGCAGAGAAAGTTTCCCAGACAAGGAAAAACAAAAATTCATCGCCACTACATCAGCTTTACAAGAAATGTTAAAGGGTCTTCTTTAAGAAAAGGCTACAATCAGAAATAAGAAAATGTATGAAAAAAATCTCACTGGTAAAGGCAAATATATAATAAACATAGTGAATCAGCCACTTAAGACCAAAGTAGCAAAACCAACTATAAGTAGTTAGGGGATACACAAAACAAAAGATCTAAAATTTCGTGTTAAAAACAAGCCACTTAATACAAAAGAAGCAAAACCAACTATAAATAGAGGATACTCAAAACAAAAGATCTAAAATTTCGTGTTAAAAACAAAGCATGGAGGGGGGTAAGTAAAACTACAGCACTTTTAGAATGCATTTAAACTCGAATGCTTATCAGCTGAAAATAGTCTGCTATAGCTATAGATTGTTATATAAACCTCATGGCAACCACAATCCTATAAAAGATATCCCTCTCAAAAGAGCCAGGAACCCAAACAAAATGCTAAAAAAAAAAAAGCAAACCACGAGGGAAGAGATCAAGAGGAAGAAGGAAGGAACAGAGAACTACAAAACAACTAAAAAACAATGAACAAAATGGCAACAAGTACATACTTACCAGTAATTAAATGTAAATGGACTAAATTCTCCAGTTAAAAGACACAGAGTGCCTGAATGGATGAAAAAAGATCCATCTATATTTTTCCTACGAGAGACTCACTTCAGACAAAAAGACACATATAGACTGAAAGAGAAGGGATGGAAAAGATACTCCATGTAAATAGAAAGCTGGGGTAGTAATACTTAGACAAAATAGACTTTAAAACAAAGACTATAAAAAGAGACAAGGGCATTATATAATGATAAAGAGGTCAATCCAAGAGGAGGTTATAACGGTAAATATCTACACGCCCAACACAGAAGCACCTAAATGTATGAAGCAGATATTAACAAACATAAAAGAAGAAACTGACAATATTACAACAGCAGCTGAGGAATTTAATACCCCACTTACATCAATGGATAGATCACACAAGCAGATGACCACTAAGGATACAGTGGCCTTAAATGTCACATTAGACCAGATAGAATTAATAGATATTTACAGAACATTTCATCCTAAAGTTTTAGGATGAAAACATATTCTTTTCAAGTGCACTTGGAACATTCTCCAGGATAGATCACACGTTAGGCTACAAAACAAGTAGCAATTAGTTCAAGAAGACTAAAATCATATCAAGCATCTTTTCTAACCATAACTGTATACAACTAAAAATCAATTACAAGAAAACTGGAAAAAACAAACAAGTGGAAAGTAAACGACATGCTACAAAGGTACCAAACGATCAAATAAGAAATCGGAATCTACCTTGAGACAAATGGAAATGGAAAAAACTTTCCGAAATGTATGGAATGCAACAAAATCAGTTCTAAGAGAGAAGTTCACAGCAGTTCAGGCCTACCTTAAGAAAGAAAAACAAATAAAAACCTAATTTTAGACCTAAAGGAACTAGAAAAGAAGAACAAACAAAACCTCAAGTAGAAGGAAATTATAAAGATCAGAGTGGAAATGAGAGACTAAAAACCAATAAAGAAGAGCAATGAAATTAAAACCATGTTCTTTGAAAAGATAAAATGTAAATCTTTAGCCAGACTCATCAAGACAAAAAGCCCAAAGAAAATCAGAAATGAAAGAGAAGTTATAACCCGTGGGCACAGAAGCACAAAGGGTCATAAAAGAATACTATGAACAATTATTTGCCAACAAACTGAACCTAGAAGAAACAGATAAATTTCTAGAATAGACAACCTTCCCAGACTTAACCAGATAGAATCGGAACAAATTGATTAGTAGCAATGAAATTGAAGTAGTAATAAAAAAAAAACCCAAGAAACAAAAATTCAGGACCAAATGGCTTTATAGGTGAATTCTACCAAACATTTAAAGAAGAATACCCATTCTTTTCAAAATAATAGAAAAAAATTGAAGAGGAAAAAATGCTTCCAAACTCATTCTATGAGACCAGTATTATTACCCTGATACTAAAACCAAAGACATTACAAAAAAATTATAGGCCAATATACCTAATGAACATAGATGCTATAATTCTCAACAAAATATTAGCAAA